TAAGAGATTTGTTTATTTCTTGAATTTTTTGGTTTGTCTTTTCCTCCATTTCGTGTAATTTTTTGCATGCTTTTTCTTCTATTTCTTCGAGTGATTTTCTTGTTTCCTATTTAAAAGTCTCTATCATCTTGCCGAGATAATTTTTGAGGTCCATCTCTTCTTCATGCTCTGTGTTGGGCTTTTCAGATCTTGCTGGAGTGGAGTCCCTAGATTCTGGTGGTGTCTTATTGGTCTTTCTGTTGTTGAGTGAGATCTTATTATGTCTTTTTCCCATATCTTCTTCTAGTGGGAGCAGGTGGGGTCTCTCTATCTCCTCTTTGACCCAGTGGTGTGTGGGGGCCAGGACTTCAATGTCTGAAGCTCTCAATGGTCTTGCCTCTCCTGGTAGTCTCCTCACTCTCATTGTGGATTGGTAGGCGGAAAAGGATGGAAGGGTGGGGTATTACCAGATTCAGGAGCTCTTCCCTGTCTGAGTGTGTCTACCCCAAACAGGCAGGTGCAGGCCCGGGGCAGGTCAGGGTGAAGGATGGTTTGGACAGGGGTTCGGTAAGAGCAGAGGCTCACTCACCTAGTTGTGGATCGGTCGGTGGAAAAGGAAAAGCAAATTAACCTATTTTTATCTTCCTTATTATGCTCTGCCAGGTGGCAGTGGCTTCATTAGGATAGCATATTCATCTCCTGCTCCCTCTGCATCTAGCTGGCAACTCCTCTGACTCCACTCTCCTTCCCAGAGTCTTTCCTTTGGTTTTCCCACCTATACTTCCTCCCTCCCCCCCCCCCCTTTTTTTTTTTTTTTTTTTTTTTTTTTTTTTTTTTAACCAATCTGGGTGACAAATCTTCACAGTGTACAAAAGGATTATTCCACAGTGGCACATTTTTATTTTGCTTTTATCATGAGCAGAAATGTCTCTACCAGATTAAGTAATAGCAATGGTAGTCATATAAAGCTCCCTTTGAAATAGAGTTTTCTAGAACCTTAACAGATAGCAACTGATGAGTTAGGTCAGTCTGAGGCTTGGAATGGTCAGGTGATCTGTCTGTGGTCATGTGAGTAGTAAGAGAGCAGCCCTCAGATTTACAATGAAGCATTCGTTACTGTGTGTCCTTGAGAAGACTTATTTCTTCATGTGCTTAGTAGACACTAGTTTATGGGCTTTTTCAGTGAGCTTTTGTTGATTCGTCTTCCTGTTCTTTTTTTTTTTTTTTTTGACTTTTCTGTTAGAGGTTTTTAAATTAAAAGGAGGATTAAAGGTGGCTTTAATTAGGTGCTTTATAAAGATGCAAAAGTTCAAAGAAATAAATGATTTGTTTTTTGATGTTACAGATACTTAGTAGTAGCAATAATACTGAAGTCTAGGTTTCCTGATGCTCAGTTTATGGATTTTTATGTATTAACTTGTCTTCTGAGAGAAATGGAAGAGATTCCTAGTGTTTGTTTGGTTGTGGTTTGTTTATTACTGCAAAGCTTGTTAGAACCATGAAATTAAAACCTAATTTTATACTTACTAAAAAAAAATAGGTTTAGGATAGAGTTATTTATTAAGTGTAGTATACCATTGAATTTACTGTAATTATTGGCAGACCTCTTTTTCAGTACAGAGGGCTAGAACCATGCTTATTTATGGTTTTTTGATTATAGTGTGTTTACAGTTTTCATAAGTGCTAAATAGTCATTATTGATGTACTGATTAAATCTGAGGTTGCTGCTTCAAATGAGTGGTTGTTTTTCCTTAAACATATTAAGTTGGGTGATTTCTTAGTACTGTATTAGTTTCATTCCTTGTGATAACACTAATAAGACTGTTAATTTAGTTTATCAACCACAGTTAATGATGCACAAATATTCCCAAAGTTAGGACTCAAGTTGTGACTGAATTTGTTGGGTTTTTAATCTGGCTAGATTTCCTTCACAGATAGCAGCATAGGAGAAGCAGTCTTATTTTTGTTCTCCTGAATTTGTCTCTGGACTGCTAATTTCTTAGTGACAGTTGAGAGATTTTCATGATGCCCAATTGTTGCTTGATTAGTTTCATAGATGATTCTTTAGACTCAGTGATCTAACTATGAAGCTGGAATATTCATAAAGACATAAACTGCTGTGGGTTTTTCAGTTATCACCATGCTGGCTGCAGGTTTGGGCTATGTTCCTTGAGTGTTTACAGTATGTCATTTACAGGATATAAATAAAAAATGACAAGTGAAATAAGCTTTTGAATGAAAAATGGCATCATTAGCAATCTGGGCTTGAATGTGTTAAGATTTGAGTAAAACAATACAATTAATTAGAATATAATTAAAATATCTGTTTTGCTTTTTGTTCTGTCTTTAAACTTAAAAAAATATTGCTATTCTAGTTATGCATACATATGGAGTTGGGGTGTTATACGAATGTGAATGTAGGTGCCCATGCAGGCCAGATATGTCAGATCTGGAGCTACAGTTCTAGAGAATTGTGAGCCAACTGATGTGAGTGTGGGAACTGAACTCTTGGGTCATCTGATAGAGCAGCGTATGCCCTTAAACACTGAGCCATTACTCCACTCCTTCTTAAACCTCTTATCAAAGTCTGTGTACATAGAAAAGTACCTAAACCACAGATGAAACAGTGACAATTGTCATCCAGTGTTGTGGAAAGTCAGCACACAGTCGGAGAAGCAAGTCTGAGCACCTTAGAAAATGTATTTATCCCCGGCTAGTAACTGACACTGGAGGAGTAACTACTGTCCTCTTTTCTAGTACCAAAGATGAGTTATACACATCACCTCTTTAATTCTATTGTCTACATTTGAAGTTCCTCCATATAACTAATTCATTCATTCTTGTTGCTGTACAGTAGTCCAATTAAGAAAGGTTGAGTCAGGTGTAGATTAGAAGAAAGGATATGTGATAGGTAGGTTTTTAGTTGGGGGAGTGGTAGGGGAGGATGGGAGGGAGAAGGGAACTGGGATTGTCATGTAATTCAATCTTGTTTATAATTCAAATAAAAAAATGATAAAAAAAAAGAATGGATCATGATCCCTGTGTCTCTCTCTGGTTATGGATATTTCCATGTTTAAGCTTTTGGTAGGTTGTTTTGTTATGAAGATTCTTATGCAGTCTCCAAGAGCCTCTGTGTGTTTCTTGGCTCAGGAGCTGGAGGGATCTAAAAGCAATCCTCATTGGAGCAAGGAAAATCAGGAACAGAGTTTTAATTTAGTAATCAATTAAATTTCTTTGTATAGATTGCCATAAAACACACACACACACACACACACACACACACACACACACACACAGAGAGAGAGATGGTTCATTGAAAACATTCAAATGTTTATAGTTGCTAATCATAAGTAAGGTTTAACTTAATGACATTATCTTTTATAACTTTCGTATTTATTATTTGTGTTGTTTTCTCCTCTGTGCACATTTATTTCTTATACCTTGGAGTGCCATTTCCCTGTATATTTTAAAATAAATGCAATTGGAAGGCCAGGAAATGCCATAGAATAATGCTTTGACTAAAAATGATGACACATGCTTTTAATCCCAGCATTTAGAAGACAAAGGCAGGCAAAGCTCTGTGAGTTTAAGGTCAGCCTGATCTATATAGTGATCAGGCTTGCATAGTAAGGTCATCTAGGCTTGCATAATAAGACCTTGTTTCATTAAATAAGTAATCCTTAATTTCTTTGATTTTCCTGTAACTTTCTTGTATTATATAATTTCATGCTTGTTCTCTTAAATTGGTATTTATTTACAGGTAGTTTTGTTTCTCTTTTTTTCATCTTGACAAGCCTTTTTAGCTTGCATAGGTAGGTATTTAAATATTTGGTGAATATTAATTATTTATAATTTTTTTTCAAGGAAAGTATTTAATTTTATACTTTAAAAGTGATAGAAACAGTAAATAATTCTATAATAACCACCTAAAAATAATGCTAATGATTATTTTTGGAATTTAGCTTCAGGAGTAGAGGATGGTGGATTAAGCTGGCTAAGAAAGTCTTATAAAAGAATGAAAGAACAAGCTCAAAAAGAAAACAGAAATTTTGAGGATATTGTAGCTGAAAAATATGGGGTAAGTATTTGTGTTTTAAGGAGATATGTATTGTTTTCGTAGTTATTTGAAAAAATAAATCTTTGTTTTGAATAATGAAATGTTTTAAATCAAAATAATGTTAGATTTATCTTTATTCTTTTAAGTAATTTCCTGCTCCTTCTTATGTAAGGATATTGCTTTAAAATGTTTTTACATTTATTTACCTGTGTGCCCATACTCAGGAATGCACACATGCCCAGGGCCCCTGTGAAAGTTAAGGGGCCAACTAAAAGGAGTCAGTTCTCTCCTTCTGCCATGTTGTTGGCTTCCACATGTGCGTCCCAGCTTTTAAACACAAGTCATCAGGTGGTGGCAAGTGCCTTTAGCCACTGAGTCATCTTGCTAGCCCAGCCTTTATCTTTTTAAGATTAACATGTTGGATGTAAAACCCAAGTAAGTGTGTAAAACTTAAAAATGTGCACATGTTTAATATAAAAGTAGCATTTTTCTCTTCTGAAGAAAATGTAAATAATACAGGGGAGTCTCTGTAGATAAGCACTGTTGACATTTTGGTCATCTCCCAGAATTTCATATTTTGTAGCATTTTGCCAATGTGACTATGCTTTGGCGAGCATTTGTAAGCCATCTTGATGTCTTTTCTTATCAGGTAATGTGTTAACTGCATACCCTGTCTGTGAATGGACTCCCATGTGCACACACTTTTCCCTGCCCAGTTTCTGCAAAGATTTTTATTTTGAGTAGGATTAGATATCTTAATCTATAAGTCTTTCTCCTTCTGTCCCCATCCTAAAGTCTCTCCTGTTCAAGACAGTCAGTTGTATGGAATCATTTATTTATTTATTTATTTATTTATTTATTTATTTATTTTTATTTTGTCATGCTTTCCCCATCATCCTTTTTATCTAGAAGCACTAAAACCTAGTTATGAGGTTCTCTAGAATGTACTGTGTCTTTCTTTCTTTCTTTCTTTCTTTCTTTCTTTCTTTCTTTCTTTCTTTCTTTCTTCCTTTTTTTCCTTAAAACATGCATATGCTTATTATTATTTCCCAAACTATAGAAAGTTTCTTGGTCAATTTGATTTTTAAGAATTTATTTCACTCAATAAACCTGAAAAATTTTTCCCTCATTTTATTTTTAAGCAGTTTTTCTTTTTTACAAGGATCTATATAGTTTTAGCAGCATAGCAACCTCTAGATTCTTACCAGCATGAATTAATTATAACATTTTAAAAGTTGTATCCATGGTGTCTATGTGACACTCTGTTGTACAAAACATTTGTTCTCAGTGCATCCCTTTTAGAAATATTTTAATTTGATTGTATTGTTTTTCTTTATTGTGCTTTTTAAAGTATTATTGGTGTGTGGTAATTTTTATGATTCATTTAACATTGCATCATGACACAGTAGTATATGAGAGACAAAACATTGAACCTTTTTTAATTGTAGATACATTATTATTCTCTCTTATAGTCAATGGAAATATTTCAGTCAAAATTACAAGAAGCTGAAAAAATTGCACGCAAAAGAGAAGACTGTGGATGGGAACGGTGGAGGAAGCCTGCATATTCAGATAGAACACAGTGTAGTCAAGCAAGTGGCACTTCAGACTTAGTGAAATGTAAAAAGGGCTCAGAGGACAAACACTTCGCAACAGAGATTGCAAACAGCAGCAGTAGCAGTGACTATACGTTTAGTTGTCCAAAAACAGGGAAGAGATCTGGGTCTTTAGAAACATGTAGAAGAGAATCTACCCTAAGACAAAAGCAAGAATCTTCTGGAAATTTGAGACCTAAATTCTTAAGACCCTCTGATGAGGATGAACTATCATTTCACAGCAAGAGGAGAAATTTTGAACCATCCACTTTTTCTTCTACATTAGTGGCTCAGGCTCCTTTGCATTTTGATTTTCGAAAACCCACAGAGAACAGTGAAGAAAATTTGACATCCTTGAGCCTGTCTGGTGGGCGAGAAGGAGACCAAAAGCATACAGATCAAAAGCCATTGGAAACCTGGAGCTGCAGTGCTGATCAACACTCTCCAGGAGACAGGAGAGAACACTTGCAGGCTGAGAGCTTGAGGGGTGACCCACCAAGAAGAGGACAACTGCAAGATACAAAGTCAACAATTGCTGGGTATTTTATATATGTGTGTGTGTGTGTGTGTGTGTGTGTGTGTGTGTGTGTGTGTGTGTGTGTGTGTGTGTGTGTGTGTGTGTGTGTGTATTTTCAGTTAGCTTCTTGAGTGGGATCAGAAAACTTGATTTTATCATAGGGGTGGTCCTGTTGGAGGTAGAAAAAAATTTGTCCAAAAGGTAAAGACTAACTTCCACTTAATTGGTCATTAAGGTAAGTTAAGGGGGTTTGGAGAGATGGCTTATAAGAAGGGCACTGGCTGCTCTTCCAGAGGTCTTGAGTTCAATTCCCAGCAACCACATGATGGCTCATAACCATCTGTAATGTGATCTGGTGCCCTCTTATGTGCAGGCAGACACTGTATACATAATAAATAAATAAATCTTTTAAAAATATAGGTTAAAGGTCTGGGTAGATAGCTCAGATATTTGGTGTAGCAGTATATATTTATAACCCCATTGCTCCAGCAGAAAAATGGGAAATGGAAACAGGAGAAGTCCCCAGAAGCTCATGAGCCAGAAGCCCTTTGAAAATTGAAGGAGAAATCTCCTTATAATGACTGGATAACCATGGCAAGGCACATAGAGTAACAAAAATGAGAGACCCTGTTTCAAACAACCTGGATAGCAGTATCAACAATAAAGAATCATCTTTATTATTTTTCCTTCATTCTTTTTTGAGCCTGTGATTATCTTATAGGAAACTATCTAATTGTGGGTCACATGCATTTAAGCTTTAAACTCGTTATTCTTAGACACAAAATGTGTTTGTGTATAGTTTTTTGGTTGGAAGCACTCTTAGGAGTCTGAAATCCAGAGTGATACTTGAAATGAGTAGAACATACTGTTTCCTTAGAGTTTATGAATTTAGTCAGAAACTAACACATTTACTATATACTATTATAAGCTTTGCATGTCATCTTGCCAATTTTATATTACAGCTCAGAAGGGCAAGGGAAGGATGCTGTGCTGAGAGACAAAAGTCTCGTCCTAGAGAAGTGGGTGTAGAAGAAAGGTGGCATTAGATTGAGAGTTATTTCTTTGGTTTCTCAGAAGGATTTATTAACTTGTCTATGCATTGCTCTAAATGTTTCTCTTAACCTTTTTTTTTTTTTCTTTTTTGAGAGATTTCATCATTAGACTTTTAAGCACAAACAATGAAGGACTTGTTGTCAGATTCTGGGGTTTAGCAGTTAGCTGTCAGTGGCAAAGTCATGTGTAGTTATCAAGCACTGGGTTGGGTAGGTACTTTGTAGTCTACCCCTGCAACTGCTATAACTGTATTTATACATTTCTGCATTTCATTCTGGCAGTTTGAGCCTTGGTATTAATCACTTTCTTTTAATTAAGATGTATACTTTTTAATTTTATGTGTGTGTATGTGTCCCTGAAGATTTTATATATGTGGTCCTGAATGTATGTCTGTGCACCATGTATGTACAGGAGCCTGCAGAATTCCGAAGAGGGTGTCAGATCCCCTGGATCTATAGTTACAGGCAATTGTGAGCCACCATGTGAGTGCTGGGAATTGGATTTAGTTATTGTGCAAGGAGCCAAGAGATCAGTGGCTCTTGACTAGTGAGCCATCTCTCCCAGCCCTCCTTTTTTGTAGTCTTGAATAGGTTGAGGTACTTGGCCAATACATAAATCTGGCTAATGGCAGTCTGGATTTGGACCCATGTCTGTCTGACTGGGAAATACCTTTTCTGGAAACACTCTGGACTTTCCTTCTTTTCAAGAAAGGAAGAAGCAAGTTACATCATAAAGATGTGACTACTAGCACATGAATAGCTTATTGTAGAAAGTCAGGATTGATTGGTTGTTGCAGCTGTTCCTTTTATTTATAGAAATGAGCATGAGCCTGTTTCTACATTGACATTTGATATGTAGTTAATATCTTTCCTTAGATGAAGGGGATGCCTTGATGAATGGCTTCTGCTCTTCGTTCTCATCCTGTCCAACTTAAGCTTGATTATAAGATACCTTACTTTTTCAATGACAACTTGTGTAGAATTGCCCCATATCTGGATTTTAGTAAGCTTTTCTTGTGCTAACGGGTAAGGATTGGGGAACATTCTTCTTCCCTCAGCTCTTTATTTTCTTATCTGGCAATTTTAAGATTGAAATAGATAAATTGGACATATATTTTTGGGTAGGAAAATCTAATGAGATAGTAAGTACTTGGGAGGAGAAGTAGACCAGACCGACCCAAAGGAAAGCAAGCAGTTTCTCATGGAGGGAGCAGAGGTATGTGAGAAGCAAACCTGGGAGTAGGTGCATTTGCTGTGAACATAAACCACAGATAATCCTTAGGAGGTATATGAGCTGTGGTTGACTACTTTGCATTAAATTGTCCTTAGTAGGGTGTGAAATGTGTTGTCTACTTTGTATTAGATTGTTCTCAGGAGGAGTGTGAACTGTGGTTGACTGCTTTGGATTAGGTTGTCCTTAGGAGGGGTATAAACTGTGGTTCACTACTTAGCAGTATATATTCCTGAAGAAATTTAACTGGTATCTTTAACCTCTGTCTAAAGGACAAGAACAGTTCATTTTCAAAGCAGGAATTTAACTGAATGGGAGATAATACAAATTGAGAAAATTGTGTTGAGTAGGAAGTAAAAATTTATAGAATTAAAACTGGGTTGCTGAAAATCAAAAATTACATTTATTACAATAAAATGATGTATTATTTAATTTGAGAAGTTTTTTGTACAAAAGAGTACAACTAGTGGTGCAAGCAGCAACAACTTACAGAGGTAAATAAACAGTTATGATATTCTCCTAATCATATGAATGCAATGCCCCACTGTTTTAACTGCTTTTTAAAATATAGATTCAAAAGAACAATACAGGAAAGGAAAAAATTCCTTCCTAGTGATTACTTACTTCTATACACACACCCACACACACACCCACACACACACACACACACACACACACACGTAGGTGTATATATGTATAGGTTTATATATATATGCAAATATATATATATATATTAGGCTCTAGAATTTTGCTCTTTGTGTTCACCTAGTATAAGACAAAATAGGCTCTATAGCAAAGGATAATGTAATGTCTTGAAAAGCAAAACTCAAATGGTATCTGTTAAATTGTCTTTTTTTATGACAGAGAAATTAGCTTGTTTTCTCTCTCTTTCTCAGAAGTTGCTTATGTTTTGTTACTCTTTCTCAGAAAATACGTTAACAAAATAATAGCTTAATTTCAATGAAGTATGATAAAAACTTGAATCCAGGAAAACTAGCATTTGAAAGATAAGTTCTTTTTATGAGCATATATCCATTGTGCAGAAAGAGGTTTCATTGTGACATTTCCATAAATGTGGACCTGCTCATGTTCACTAGATACATCCTTTATACTTAGGATTGTGATGATTCTGGAAATATGTTTTGCTTTACCCTTTTCTTTGTTGCTCCCCTTTGGGAAAATTTAAAAGCCTTATGAGGTGTAATGAATGCATGCATGATAAAGTGCTGTACACAACTTGTAAATTTTGGAATATGTATATGTGTATCTTGTGACATTAGCCTCTAATGTCACAAAAGTTTCCTGGTGAGTTTTTAATAATCGCTTCCTCCTGTCTACACCCTTTAGACTGCTAACTCTACATTTTCAGATCTGTCTCCTTCCTTCCTTCCTTTCTTCCTTCCTTCCTTCCTTCCTTCCTTCCTTCCTTCCTTCCTTCCTTCCTTCCTTCCTTCCTTCCTTTCTTTCTTTCTTTTTCTCCACACACACACACACACACACACACACACACACACTTTATGTAAGTGGGAAATACATTGTGTACTTTTTGAGGGAGTCTGGCTTCTCTAACTGAGCTTAGTTGTTTTTAGCTTCATTTCAGCTTGTGAATATTAGTAGTTCATTCCTTTTGATAGATGGGTAAGATATCATTCGTTTGTAAACCACAGTCTATCTCTTCATTCCCTGTCGGTGGACTTTTGGATTGGTTCCTGTTTTTGACCATTAACAAGCAAAGCATTTCTGTGCACTCACTGCCTACGCTTTCTTTTCTATAGCATAATCCCAAAGACATGAATCACTGGATCAAACAGTACTTGCACTTTGAATATTAAGAAAATGTGAGACTGTTTCCTAGAATTGCCAGGTCATTTCATGTTATTAACAACAGTATTATGGAAGCATCATTTCCCTTATTTACTTTCAAACACTTGGCAGTGGGCATGCTTTTTAACCTGGTGAGTAGCTGTAGCCCACAGGTTTTGTTTATTGAATCTCCATTATTAGATACACAGACATAGAGATTCCTATGTACTTTGATTGCTCGATCCATTTTTCTTATGAAATGGCCCTCTTTGTCCAGAATAGTATAATATTTTTGTGTTGTACAGTAATTTGTCTCATATTAACATAGATACTTCAGCTTTCCTTTGACTAATGTTGACACAGTATATCTTCCTTTTACGTATAACGCATTTATATCTTTATGTTTACAGAAATTTTTTGTTAATTAAAATATCCATACCTGCTTTTTTAATACAAGTATTTAGAAAATGTATTGATATATAGGCTGGGTATCCTTTATCTCAGATGTTTGGGACCTTTTTTAGTATTTTGGACTTTTATTTTCCTTTGGAGCATTTACACCTGCATGTGTATCATAAGATATCTTGCAGAAAATATGCCTGTACATGAAATATGTTTTGTCCCATAAGATATCTGGTATATACATATGTGTGTGTATCTTGAAGATAATTTTGTATACTTTTAATAAGCCTATATTTTGAGTATGATTATCATATAATATGAATGCTAAAATCTTCAGGTCTTTTTCATATTTTCAAATTTCCTATGCTTTGGTGGGCAGGATGCCCGAATACATGAAAAAAAAAAAAAAAAACCCTGAGTTTTTCTTCTGTATTATATTATCCCATCCATCTGCTCACTTCAACTTCCTTGAGCAGCTTCTTTATTTTCAATAAAGTTGGGGCATTTGAGCCTTTGTTCTTTATTTCTCATCCTTCCTTGAGGGACTCTCCATATGACAGAGAACTTAAAATTGCCCTGCAGTCTTCTGATTCTCTTTAATTTTGCTTTGGTTTCATTTTGTATAGTCCTTTAGTAATCTGATTTTCTAAAAATGTTATTTAATGTGGTATTTTTAATCCCTAGCTTGTAGTTTTCCTGAGTAGAAAGAAGTTCAATTTTCATCTTTTTGTTGTTGTTGTTGTTGTTAGTTGTGACATTATATACAAGGTCTTGTGCTGACAAAGGCTAAGCTGGTCTTGAACACTCTGTCATCTTGCCTTATCCTCCTGACTTTAGGTATGCACTCACCAACTTGTCTAAAGTGGTTTTTCAATAGCTGTATCATTTCTTTTGAACATATAAGATACATTTATCCTAATAACTGAATGTGCTTATTTATTTCTTATATCTGTGTCAGTTCTGGGTGTCTTTTTGATTGATGGAATTATCTTCTAAATATGAGTTATACTTTTTGCATAACTGATATTTGGATACTAGATATAATGATGTTTACTTGTTGAATGCTACATTTTTCATGTTTTTTATTGGCATGTATTCATCTTATGAAACTCAGTTCCATAAGAATATTTTCATTCAAATGTATCGTGTATTTAAATATTTTTGCACTTTGTTTTAAATGCAATTGATGTGAAACCATTTGCTACTTTTGTCTCTTAATTTTAACTTTTTTTTTTTATAATTTGGGCTTGAAGTAGCATTTTATTGTGCACAACATATTATTTTCTAAGCATTCTACCCAGTATTTTCTCACTTATGTAACTTTGATGTGTCACTAATGGGACTAGACACTATTATCAGAATTTCCCATAACAATTCTTTAACCAGTAAGAGAATTGTTTCCCTCAATACAGGTATTTCTTGGCTGAATACTCCAGGGTAATCCTGAAGGATTCTCTTATAGCATAGCTTTCTCTTGGCAGTTTGTGCTATGAACTGGGACTACTTTCGACTTGTGGGACTGTTGCTATTGTTTGCTCAGGACTCCTCCAGCCTCTTGCTGGGTTCACCCTCCTTGTTCTGTAGCCTTGTCTCCAAAAGTTAAGCTGGGATTATCTGATATTAGCTAAAATTTTCTTGTATGTGAGGCTTCTCTGACTTAGGCAAGTAATCTCAATTTTACATTATTTTTCTTTCTAAATAATTATGGACCAGCTTTACAAAAGAGCACACAATTGTTGTTTTTATTTGTTGAATTTGGGTAAGTATATCATCCTAAGATTATAGTTCTAAGATGATAAAAAATTCATCAAATTTAGTACAGAATTTCTTAAGACATAGAAAATTGTGGTCTGACAAAAGTGCTTTTGTTTATTTCCTTTTCAAAATGAGTATAGATTTTGTTTATTGTTTCTGAGACAGTGTCTCTTAGTGTAGCCAACACAGGCCTCAAATTCACCATACTCAAAGTGGCTTGTAACTCATGGCAGCTTCCAACTTCTACTGAGTGTTGGGATTACAGGTGTGCACCAGTACACTGAGTATTTAAAAATGAAAATGTTAATTTGTATATTATTTATTTTATAGTTAATAGTACTCTGCAGTTATTATTGTAACTGTAATAGGTTGTTCTTGGCTTTGTAACAGAATCTTGAAATGTAATTCACCCTAGAATGCTGGACTTAACTCTTATGTGTTAGTATTGTGATCTCCTATTAGTGCTGAATGCTTTACTGAGGTCAGTTAAGATAATGCATGATTTTATTCATGACATATGCTCTTGCTCTGTCCTGTCTCACCTGCAGTCCAGAGGCAGAGTCTACCTGTATCTTGAGTGTTGATGAAAAGAACAAGTTGGGTGCTAAGATTATCAAGGCAGAGATGATGGGAAATATGGTAAGACCCTATGTGCTGTTCACTTGGAGAAGAATGAAATGTTAACCTTCACGGATATTTTTAGAAGCTTTAGCCACATCTAAATGATGTGGCATCCCTTGAAGATACCTATTGCTTCATAATTCCTTAAAAAGATTCCTGAGAATTTCTAGAAAGAGTACTCTTGTGGTTTGTCTACTGAAGAAATATATATTATCTCTCCTTTATTAGATTTCTGAAATTTATGAAAAAAAAACATGTTATTTTATTTTTAAGCAATTTTTTACTTTATTCTTTCACTTACATCTGGGACATAGTTGGAGGAGTTAAAGATGTCTTTGTTTCATCTCCATTTTAACTTAATAAGAATGGTTATTGATTTCTTTTTGTAAAGATTTAGTTTTCTTTAAAAATTTTTATTGGTGTGTGTGTGTGTGTGTGTGTGTGTGTGTGTGTGTGTGTGTGTGTGGTGTGTTCAAGTATACTAGGATGCCCAGTAAGGCCAGAAAAAGGTGTTGGCTCCTCTGGAGTTTTGGAGTTATAGGTGGTTGGGAGCTGCCTGAAGTATGTGCTGGGTATTGAAGGTTGGTCCTTTGTAAAAGCAGCAAATGCTCTTAACCACTGAGCTATTTGCAGCCCAATAGTGCTTATGACTTTCTTAAAATGAAGCTTAAGAACCTAGAACTTTGGGGCAAATGGGTTTGTCACAAAGGCTGATGGCTTGCATTTGATCTTTGCAACCCACACAGTAGAACCATTACTTCAAGTTGTACTCTGACCTCCACACTTACACTGTGCTGCATTCAACAATGTTTTAAAAAGAACCTAAAAAATGTTTATGAGTTAAGATCAATTTGCATAAAATTAAATAGAAATAGGGATAATTTGGTGGGACCTACTCATCTGTTTATTTATATACAATTATATATTATAGTCGTACTAATTTGTTAACTTATAAGGCAGAATAGCAAAGACAGAAATCCTTCTATCTTCTATTATAGTAAATCCATGGGCTTGTTTTAAATTTAAAAGTAAATACTCTTTAAATATTCTGTTCTGGTATACTACCAGTGCTCTTTAACAGTACAAGAGGCATCTGAGGAAGATCAGTTTCTTCTTATTCTGTTGTAGACGGTGTATATTGCCTCTGTTTCTTTGAACATGGTTTTGCTAACCAGTGAAATCCATTTCAACTTAGTAATTATAATTAACAAATAATTATAATGAAAAAAGTGAAGTTTAATATTTGATAGTACAGAAGAATCAGTGAAAATAGTGGAGTGGTTGCCTAGAAGTTAAATTACATTTAAACAGTGTTCTGTTTTTCATGGAAACATTTCAGATTAGCATGCTAATTTTTTTGTCACATAAATAATTTATCATTTTATGGTTTATTGCTTGTTTTATATAAATTTGCAGAGTTCTTAGAAGAGTGAAATATAGCTTTTGTGTAAATTTCTCATCAGAAATGAAGAAAATAATTTTTTTGTCTTCTGATTGCTTCCTATGTAAATAACTGATGTCATTAGTATTGGATGTTTGTAATACCTAAGAAATTGCAAAAGTGTAATTCTTGATGCTATGTAGTTTTTCTACTTTCCTTCCCCTGTCAAAGTATAGTTTCTTGAAGTTATTCTCCTTCAAATAATAAACAAGTGACCTCAGTACTCGAGAAATTTGTAACTGAAGAATGTTCATTAAAATTAATGTTGGTTGGTTATCGAACTTAACTATTGGCTGTAGGTATTTTTGTTAAATTGTTTTTTGTTTTATAGCTTTGAAATACTGTGTAATGAGAAATTTAACATCACAGCTGACCTGTTTAATTTTTCCTTTTGAAGGAATTAGCTGAACAACTTAAAGCCCAACTTAAAGAGGCAAATAGATTTAAAGAAACCATGACACAGATATCAGCAAAAAGATCTGGAGTAGAGGTAAGTAATAAAAGTTTGTTTAAATACATATTATTACTTAGTTTAATGTCATTATACTGCAATAGTGATATTGTGATTCTAGATGTAGATTTTACTAGAATTCTTTGATGAAAGCCTCATCCTTGGGCCAAGGAAATCTGCTTTTATTCTAAATTCTGTGGCTTGATGACCTTCATCTCTTTTCCTACAGAATAAGAGACTTGAATTAGATATTCATTTCAGAAAAGGCAAATCATTTTGTGTATGGTTTGTTCATTTATTTAATATTGATTGAAACAGATAAAAATACTTACCTGTCTAGAGCTTCCATTTGAGTAGGGATGCAGGGATAATGGAAAGTAAGTGATGGTGCATATCGGAAAGTTATACATCCTATGCCAGAAGAGTAGGAAAGAAAGAGTTTTAAGTACCTGTTGGGTGACTGGAAATGAACTATTAGATTTGGAGGTGAATTTTTTTTTTGGGGGGGGGTGCAAATACTGACCTTTCTTACTATACAATTGATAATACTTTTCTGAGATAATAACATTTACTTTCCCACAGTTATTTTAGATTTTAGATTCCTTTTTGGATTCCAGTGTGGAATATTCATTCCGGTCTATATTTCGTTTTCTCCTTTCTTCCTTAAAATAAGAATTCATAGTTTCTGCCAACCATAAGACTGTTTTATAGACAATGAATGAATAGGACTAAACCATTTTGAGATTTGTTTATAACAATAGCCACATAAAATACTTATAATGAAACATTCAGTTTCAGTTTATGTAAAATTGAAAGCTTTGCAGGTTGAACTGTGATTATTTTATTTTATTTTATTTTACTTTTTTGGAGCATTTGGCATTCCTAGGAAATAGAAAGCTTTCATAAATCCTTTTTTCATAAATTCTTTTTATTTATAGAAGAAAATGTGTTTGTTTTCTTTGGAGAAAAATAGTAAATTACATGGATGTAAAGAATGGCTTGCCTATTTTGCTTTTTAATTTTTTGAGACATGGTCTCTCTACTTTGTAACTCTTCTACTGGAACCCACTATTGTAGATCAGCTGGCTTTGAAATCAACAGACTCTGCCTCCCAAGTGCTGGGATTAAAATGTTTGCCACCATGCCAGGCTTTTTTTTTTTTTCCCCTCTCTATTTTCTCTGTAGATGGACCTCTCTGTTGTAGCTGCGTAAAGTGAGTTGGTTTCAGGTCTTATGTACTGGCAGCATAATGGAAATGAAAATAGACAATGTGACATCCAGTGGAAGGAAGTGGGTTAATTTTGAGAGCTTATCAACCAGTTTGAGGCCCTGGTTTATTAATTCCATTTATCAAGCATTTATTGAGGACTCTGTTGTTTGACACTGTATGAGGTCTTATGTGTACTTAAAATGCTTAACTTTTCTTGGCCTGAAAAGGTGGCTAAAACAGAAAATCACAAGTAGTCTGATAGTTACTTTTTTAATGATTTGTGATATGGTAATGTGAATATTCTCAAAATTACTTGTGAACTGAGTGTTGGCTGTGATTATATCCTTGGTTTCTTTGTTGAACAAGAAGGTAACTTTTTCTATGCAATGGAAGTAAAGTGTATACACTAAATTTACCAGAATTATGAAGAACTAGGAAAGAAGTACAGGACCAGAAGTTGACAGCCTTGCAGATTCTTGGCCTTTCCATATTTAATACAGAGCCTCTAGCCTTCCCTGCAGGATTAAGTTTGTTTATGAATGTATAAAGTGTGTGTGTGTGTGTGTGTGTGTTGCATTCACCTTGGAATGATAGGTGTCATAAAATGAGATTCACATTCTGGGAGAACAACATAAAGAATATAAGAAATGGGTTGGGAGATGGCTCGGTGGTTAATTACTATAGGTTTGGTTTGCAGCATGCACATGGCAGTATTGACAAATATTTGTAGCTGCAGTTCCATGGGTTCTGTACCCCTCTTCTTGTCTCTTCAGGGACTAGGTTCATATGTGATACACATGTATGCAGACTAAACATTCATGCATGTAAAACAAAAATATAAGAATACACGAAATGTCTCAAACTTGAATTTAGGTTGAATCAACATAAAATCCCTGTGTGTTTGCTTCAAAGAAGTATGCATGTTCAGTTTCTAGATCTTTTATTATATTAATAACATATTTCACACGTGGTCATTCTGAGCATCAACCTGACCTGTAATATGTGGTTTCTAAATTAAGTAAAGACTAGCACAGTTAAGTTTATGTTTAGCAGTGGAGTTTGCAGCAGTATTAGTGTCAATGAAGTTGGATTTCTGAGAAATCAATTAACATTGGAATCACCAGCTCTAAAATGTAGCAGAAAGTGAATCTGGCGTCTTTATATTAATAATTCTTATGGGTAGTAATTCTCATATGAAGCTATAAACTTGAGGTTGTAAGACCCCCGGAAGCTCAGGCCTCCAGGATCTTTTCCCAGGACCTCGGCCACCCCAATCACCATGCGGAGGCGGAAACTTGATGCAAACTTCAAGAGGCTTTAATGAAAGGTGGACGTTTGTACAAACGGGCTCTCTCAGCATGCAGGCTAGAGAGCAGCCCCGTCCCCCAGGCACAGGCGTTTTTAAAGGCAAAAACAACAGGCTTAGGGAGGGGCCTCGACTCTCTGTCCATTGAGTACGTGACCAGAGTCATAGATTCCTAGGAGGCCGTTTGTCTTGAGGGGAGGGCTGGGAATCAGATGGCGTCCTGACCCACCGGTTGTAAAACCTGCGGACCTCAGAATGTGCTAACTTAATCTTGCCTGAGCAAATGGTAGCTATCTCTTTGTTTCATAGGGACCCTTAATCTGTTTCCTTCATGAGCCCCTTGGGGAGGCTGGCCATCTGGGAATTCTTGGTACCCAGTTATCTTATGGCCTTGTAAGGGAGTAATTGCTGGCAGCTGGTAAATTCCAGGCACCAAGTCATAGTAGTGGCCTTAGTCAGTTTCTGGGTTAGGCCACCCTACATTCCGTTTGGAGAGTTTCCTTATCTGGGCTATATTTCTTTGCTAATTTTTAAGTCTTTCAAGGTCAGGGATTTTATTTCCTAATAATATAGATACTTAAAATACTTGGTAATATGGATACTTCAGTATTTGCTAGCCATAAAAAGTTTCAAGGACTTAGGAGTTGGCTCAGTCACTAAAATACTTGAGATAGATCTTCATAATCCATGTAATAAAATCCATGTAATAAAACCAGTGCTGGAACAGTGGAGACAGGCAGATTCCTGGGGCTTATTACCTAGCTAGCCTACCCTACCTGACAAATCCTGGGGCAGTAAGAAATCCAGTGGGGAAAAACAAACTGAGCAAACCAGGTAGATGGTAGTCAAGGACCCACATCCAAGGTCATCTTCTGGTCTCCATATTGCATTCTTACACATACACACCAGTGTTCACCTCAAAACTCAAAAGAATTCAGGCTGGATAATGTGATAAATATATAAAAATACTTTCAAATCAAGGACTATGATTATGCAATGAACAATTGTTGGATTTAGTAATTTGCAAGTCTTTAGTAGCAGACTAGAGGGCAGCTTTCACAGTGTGAAGTTGGAAGCCACATTTGTATATTTTCCCATCTTTATTTTCTAGCAAGGGAACAAGTAGAAAGGTGTAGAACATAACATTTCACAAAGTAATTGAGGGAGATATAGTGACAGTTTTTAATCGACATTAAATATTTGGAGAAAAATAAATTCCTATTAGTACAGTAATATGTGTGTATTTTATTTCAACACTGTTAAATGTAATTGAAATTGATTTTGATATTAAATCTGATTTGAGAAAAAAATTGAAATGTGAATATTTGATTGACTTTGTTTCAATTAATCTTTAATGAGTTGATCACCTAATGCTCCTTATTGATTGTTAACAATGGCATTCCACTTCCATCATAGAAAATTATACCAGGAATATATTTCGCTACAAGTGTTTAGAAAATATCATATCTTTAAACTATGTGAAATGTAATAACTTCTGAAGCACCAGACACACAAAATGCATTTGAAAAGTGTTAAGACAAAGGAAATGCTGATATCATTGCAAAAGCTCATTTGAAACACCAACTTTTGGATGTAACAAGGCAGTTGGTTACCTTGTTATAATTGAGTCTAAGTTATAAGTCTCTGAAACACCAATTATCTATTTTGTCTACTGTATCAGAGATGGGCATTCTCAGACAAGATCTGGTAGATTATTAGTACTTTATCATCTCTTTTAAAACATGTTTTAATTGATTATTTGGGAATTTTACCTAATGTACCCCATCATGCTTGCTTCTCAGTCCTCCCAGGTCCTCCTCCCCCCACCCTTGTGCCCTCACTGGGCAAAAAGAAAAAGAGAGGGAAAGAGGGACAGAGACAGAGAGATAGAGACACCAAGTCCAATTTGTGCCCATATACTCATTGAAGCATGGTCAAACTCCAGTGGTCAGGCCCTTAAACCCTATCAGAGGCCATCAACTGCGAAGAGCTACACTTCTGCATATTTTTCACAATTTTTAAGGACTCTGTTCAATGGCTTCCTGTCTAGACTTTTTTTGGGAGGTGGGCATGGAGGGTTACACAGAAGCCTTCAATGTCTCTCAATATCAACTGTGAGTCTGCAGTCATCTATACCACTGCAGAAGGAGCCTTCTTGTCTGTAATAGCCAGCAACAGCATGATCATGGACTTCCATGTAGTTTATGGTGACAGTATAGACCAAGGACATCTACATGGCCTTAGGCAGCAGCACAGACTATGGTCCTCAACATGGCCTCCTGAGGCAGCACAGACCCCAAGCATCATCATGGCCTTGGCCCCAGCATGGACCGGGAACACCAATATGGCCTCGGGCAATATAGGCCATGGTCCCTGGCAGAAGCAAGGCCATGGAAATCAGCATGGCTTCAGGCAGCAGCACGGACCACTGATGTCAACATTGCCTCAGCAGGAGCACAGACAACAGACATACACACAGCCTCCAGTGGAGGCACTAAACAAATGTTGCCCCAGGTTGCAGCAGGGATCACATGCCTTTACTTGGTGGCGTCTGTAGGCAGCATGGACCACCATGGCAGCACCACCATCTTTGTTCTCTCATTATCATCTTTTAGTAATATTTGGATAAAACTATTTGAATTGGACCTATGACATAGGCTTAGATTCTTAGCCATATGGAGGAGAAGGTGGGCATATAGCAAGTTCAAGGTCAGTGTGGGATATGGAGTGAATTCGAGGCCACCTTGGAACATTTAGTAAGACCATATCTCAGAGTCTTTAAAAAGAGAGACAGAGAGAGAAACAGATAAGAGGGTTGGGATATAGCTCATTGGTGGGCTGCTTACTTAGTATTATGCATGAGGTCTTAGGTTCAACCCCCGTTATGCTCAATTAAATACGTTAAGAGAACTATTTAAAGGTTGCCTCAGTAATTGAATTATTAAAATACTAAAATGAAATTTGGGTCTCTCCCCCTGCTGTCTTTTCTGTTATGGTTACTTTACAGTGAGTGATAAAGATCAAAGATTTTAAATGACCATAGTTCTGTGTGAAAATTAGAATCTTGTCTGTAATTTGTTGTTGTTAAGTGTGGACATTTAACCTTTGAAGTATTTCAAATATTAACTAAACCTTTCTGTAGCATGAAGATGAAGAAGTGATTCTCATTAGAACAGATGAGTCTGGAAGAATGTGGCCTGTGAACACCCCCAGAGAGACCCTGGATGTGAAAGCAAAAAGAAGAAAGAGACAAAGAGTATGTGTGTTATAAGCTTTCACTTACTAATTCACAATTCTTTTTTTCTCTTTTGAGTTACTTCTACATTACACTAGTTTTTTTTTTTAAATGAAAACATTGGAAAATAATAAATTTTCACTTTTATTCTTAGTTATATCTTTTTTTAATCTTTTTCAATTGGCAAACAATTCATCTGTGTCTTTTCAAGTGACTGGACATGGAAGGCTTACTGCAATTTTAATTTTAGTGTACATTTCTTTGACATTGTATTCAGTTTCTTTTGCATATTTACCAAAGTGTACATAGAAAAGCTTGACCTCCTAAACCTGTTATCTTTGTCAATAACCTAGTTTTAGGTCTGACAGTGGGGTGTTCATGCATAGTAATGTCTTAATTACATAGGGGCTATGAGCTTTTAAGTGCTGTATTTTCTGTCTGTCAACTTTGGTAATTAATATTTAGCACTCCTTTGAGCATGGAAAGGTGGCAAAAACAATACCTTCATTTCCCTGAAATTAGGCTTTTGTTTTAAATTTGAAAATCATGTAGGTGATAACTGAATATACAAATACTTACTTGGGGATTTTCTGTGAAATATTGATTGTTGGCCTGTTCAATAAATAGAAATGAGATTGGTATGCCAATGTAATGGGAAAGCTGGAGAGACATGGAGAAAAATGAAGGTTTTAATATATAAAAAGGCAGACTGACTAGGAACCTATAAACACATTGTCAGATGCCAGGGAAGCCCTTTTAAGTTGCATACAACTAAACAAGTGATTATAAAGTCAGAGACCGAGTCATTCAGGCCTGGGATTTGCATTTTAAACTCAGGCCAAATATGAAGTATGTGGAGCCAGGAAAATCATGTCAAATGAGATTCAAGTTAGTGATGAAATATTAGCAATGTTAGAATAGATGATGGAACACTGGTTTTAGGTATCTCAAATAAGTTAATGGGTGGGTTTTATTTGGATACTGAAATGAGTGGTTGGACTATGGAGAAAATAGCACTTTGTGATTCTCATGTTGACATGGAACTGAGAGGAAAACCCAGGGCTGAAGTATATGATCTCAGAATACCAGCTTTGTTTTTGATAAAGCTGTTTATAGAACAAATCAGTGGTTAGGAATGAGTATTTTATCAGTCTAGCAACTGGAATAACACGTCAAATTTTAGTAGCTTGGAGACTGAGAATCCCAAATGACTGGTAGGCTCAACATCTGAGTTTACAGTGATGCTTTCTCATATAGTAGAGAGCAGAGACAGAACAGGTGCTCTCATGTCTTTATAAGATACTAATAAGATACTAATCTTACTCAAGGGGCTCCACCTTATTAACCTGGTTATGTCTCCAAAGTCCTGACTCCTCGAAACATATGAGTTAGGAAAGTGATACAAACAGTAAGCCTATGGTAGTTTACCTCTGTTTTTTTTGTTTTGTTTTTCTTAATGCTTATTTCCTATTTGAATAACAACACTCTTCCTTCCACCGTGATAAGGAGTTTTAAGTACACGGAGAGCAGAAGATGGGATAGGACAGTTGTAATCTTTTACCAAACTTGGCAACCAGCTAATGTGTTTCTTCTTCCTCAGAAGGAAGACAGGAAAGGGGAAGAAATACAAAGTGTAATTCTGATGGAAGGAGCAATTGTGACATATGGTGGGGTTTTGTTGTTGTTGTTGTTTTGTTTGTTTGTTTGTTTTTTACATTTATTACCAGATTTATGGTACCATTGAAAACATCTGCAAACACTTCATTGTGTTCACTTTGCTATAGGTTGCAACCCACGAGGATAAAGAAAGGATCCGATACTTTCCTGATGATGATCATCTGAGTCTCAATGATTTAGTCAAGAATGAAAAAATGGGAACAGGTATTGATCAAAACAGACTTTTCATGAGGATGGCATCTAAGGTAAGAGAAAGTCCCAACAAACCTTTGCGTTTTGACAAACTGATTCATCAGTCTAATGTTGATGTACGTGTTAAAGAGATCTGATCATCGATAATCTTTAAATATTTGATTAAATTGAACTTTATATGGTACATCAGGAAAATATTAAGGCAAAATTATGTGATTTTTCCCCCAATATTTTAATTGAATTTTATTTTCATAAAATATATTCTGATAAAAGTTCCCCTCCTTCATTTTCTCCCATGTTTTCTCCCCATCCATTTAACTACATGCCCACTTTATTTCTCTCTAAAAACAGACAAAACGGGGTAACATAAATGAAAAGAGAAGCATGAGAAACATGCCTGCCCTCACTCCTACACACCCACCCTCCAAAGAAACACAAAATCAAAAACTTTGATATACAAAGCAAAGACCAGTTAAGGTTAAAAAAAAAATGCCCAAATAAAGCATGATGAGACAAAATGTCTCCTGATATACCATTTGATTTGGTTATGTGTTGCCGATCTACTACTGGGCATGGGGCCTCCTTTAAGTGTGGTTTGTATACCCAGTGAGACTCACTTGGAGAAAATTAATTTTACCTTGCTAGCAGTTGACACTTTAAGATAGTTAGGGTTAGGGTATGGGCTCATGTCGACTTCCCCTCTTAGTGCTGGAACCCCATATAGTTTAGGTCTGTTCAGACTCTGAATGCTAACACAGTCTCTCTGAGTTCCTGTGTGTGTCTGGAAGGCACTGTTTCCTCAGTGCTTTCCATCCCTGCTGGCTCTTGCAATCTTTCTACCTCCTCTTCTTCATAACTCCCTGCATCTTGAAGGCAGTAATTTGATGAAGACGTCAAATTTAGGACTGAGTGGTCTGAGGTCTCTCACTCTCAGAACATTGTCTAGTTTGGGGTCTCTGTGTTATTTCCGATGTGTTGTAGGAGGAAGCTTCTCTAATGATGGCTGAGTGAGAAACAGATTTGATTCTGAGTCTAGTGCCTTTTTGTGAGTTTTTAAGTGTAGATTCTAGTTTGCTTAGTTTTGGGCTAGATAGGATTGTGCTATGTTGTCTATGCAAATTTCAAATGTATGACTCTCCTGCTGTAGTACTCTCAAATGGCTAAGGGTATACACTATCATGCTTGGGCTGGGGTCAGAATTTAGTGATTGAGAATGTATTATTTTTAAGTTGTCAGCCTGTCCTATTTTCTTTATTATATCTACTTATGAAAAGCTTCCTTAGATACACAGTAAATATTTCTAGTCACCCCCTGCCGGTGTTTTTGCTGTTGTTGTTTTGGTTTGTTTGTTTTTTGATTTTTTTTTTCTAGGTTTTGTGTGTGTGTGTGTATCTCTGTGTGTGTGTGTGTGTGTGTGTGTGTGTATGTGTGTGTGTGTATGTGTGTGTGTGTTTATAGGAACGTTTTATTTTCAATGGATTTTATTTATTTATTTTTTATTAGTTCAAATTAGGAACAAGCTTGCTTCACATGTCAATCCCTTTGCCCTCCCTCCCCTTCCCCCAACCGTGGCCCCAACCTCCCTTCTACGCCTCACCCCATATCCCCTCCACTCCCTAGGCAGGGTAGGACCCTCAATGGGGGCTCCCCAAAGTCCAGCACATCATCCTTGGCTGGGCCTAGGTCCTCCCCCATGTGTCTAGGCCTAGAGAGCAAGTCCCTTCACATGGGATGGGCTCTCAAAGTCCCTTCTTACACCACAGAACAATACTGATCCACTAACGGGGCCCCTTAGAGTGCAGAGGCCTCCTCATTGACATCTATGTTCAGGGGTCGGTTCTGGTTCAGTCCTGTACTGGCCTTCCAGACAGCAGTCTGGGGTCCATGTGCTCCCCCTTGTTCAAACCAGCTGTTTCTGTGGATTTCACCAGCCTGGTACCCACCCCTTTGATCTTCATTCCTCCCTCTCTTCAACTAAGTTCCATAGTTCAGTTCAATGTATATTTGTGGATGTCTGTCTCTGCTTCCACTGGATGAGGGCTCTAGGATGGCATAAAAA